CGAGCAGAAAACCCACCCAAAAACCGCAAGCCCCAAGCCGCGCGAACAGAAAACCCACCCAAAAGCCGAAAACCCTGAGCCGGTCAAGCAGAAAACTTACCCGAGGAGCGCAAGCCGCAGGCCGCGCAAACAGAAAACCTGCGCGGGCTTGGCTCGTGAGTAAAAGGGCCGCAGCCCAGAGAGCTTGGACGCGGTGCGCGTTAATCGTTCTGCAATCAATCTGACGGATCTCCTCAAACGCCCAACACCCGGCAGGCAATTCCCTTAGGCTTTTTGCTTAGGGTGGGGCCGGTGCCCCAGGGGAGAGACCACTGGGAGGGGCGTGCGGTGCGAGGCGGGGGCGGCGTTGCTTGGCGGTCCCGCCTTCCCCCGCCCCCCGCGTGTGGTCTTCTGAGGTGGGTAGCGTCTCCCAGGAGACCCCGCTCGATCCCGTTGTTCGTGTCGTGTTCCTGTTGTGTTCCGTGGATTGTTTCTCGCCCGGCCTCTCCCAGTCCAGAGCCGCAACTTTTTCAAGCGCTCAGCCCGGCAACCCTTTAAAGGCCATGGCCTTTTAACCAATCAGCAAGCAGCGCAAGCTTTTGCAGCCGCGTCCGCGTATTGCAGAACAGCTTCGAAGCCCGGGGGCCATGAAAAAAGGAGGAGCGTGGGCAGCCTTCTGGCCTCCAAAGCCGTGACTCTTTCACGTGTTCAGCTTGGAGCCCCATAATGGCAGGAGCTCCGTGACCGATCAGAAACCAGCGCGAGAGCGTTCGCCACCACGTTGGCCTAGTGCGGTGCGGCTGGAAAGAAACACCCCAAGGCACGCTGCTGCGGCACATAAGGGGCGCAACGAAGCGACGCGAAGCCGCTCGAGAAAAACACGGCAAAAGCCTAAGCACTTAGCTGAGTTTTTTTCTCTCAAGTTTTTTGCGTTTGTTCCTTGCCCCTCAGCTCTTCAAGCAGCTGCACTTGGCCCACGCGTCCCCGTGTCCCTCCAGAGACGCAGAAGTATGACACAGATGAGCAGAAAACGCACCCGGGAATTCTGCAGGTGCGCGGGAAGCACCCGACGACCAAGGGCACAGGCAGACGGGCGCGCGTGTCTGCGTCGCCAGGTAGTGAGGCCCCGGCGTGGCCTAAGTGGTAAGCAGCGCTCTTCGGCTGGCGGTGGAGCATTTATGCGGCAGCAAGTAGGCGCAGGCCCGTTCAGTTCTTCTGGAGATCGTTGTCCAAATTGAGTAGGCCCCTCTACTCTGTACCGCATTCCCCGAAGGAGTCACGGCCTTGCGAAGAATAAGCGGGCCCGGCGTCTCTTTTCTCTAAAAAAACACGGCTTCGGCGGGGGCCGCGGTAAATACTAGAGGGATCTACTCAATTTTGGCAACGATTTCAAGAAGGAGACGGCACGGGGGCGGCCAACCTTTGGAGAAAACTGAAAAAGACGGGCAAAGCCTTCCGCCCTTAAGGACGGGGCCGCCCCCTATAGGGTCCTGCGGGAAACCAATGCAGGGAAAGCGCTGGCGCCCTGTAACTCCCTCGCGATTGGCGTCAGATCCCCACTAGATTCCCCCGGCTTCTCTTCCTGCTGAGAACGCAGCCGAGGCCAGCGCAATCCACGCACTAGATTCCGCGGCGCGTTCTTGTTTGCGTGCGAAACTGACGCCCGCAATTAGATGGCGCGCAGCCCTCGCAATTTTCTTAAAAGTGCGACCTCCTTCGAGTTGGGAAGGTGTCCCCCTTAAGAAGTCGCCTACTTTCGCAGCCTTCACTGTCCGCGATCGCCATTAGGTGGCGCGCAGTCCTCGCAATCCCTTGACAAGTGCGACTTTCTTCGAGTTGGGAAGGTGGTCCCCTTAAAAAGCCGCCGCTTTTCAAAGCCTTGACCGTCCGCGCCCGTGCGCTCGTTTGTTTGCCTGTCGCGAAGCCGGTGCCGACAACCTTGCCCCCGCCATTAGGTGGCGCGCAGTCCTCGCAATTCACTGAAAGGCGCGACTTTCTTCAAGTTCGGAGGGTGATCCCCTTGAAGGGTCGCCCTCCTTCGAGGCCGTGACTGTCGCGAGAAGTCGAGAACAGACGCGCAGCGCAGAGCCCCCGGCCCGCGATGAGTCGACAAGAGACGCGCAGCGCGGAGCTGCCTAGCAGCCGGCCCGCGATAAGCCGAATACAGACGCGCAGCGCGGAGCTGCCTAGCAGCCGGCCCGCGATAAGTCGAGAACCGACGCGCAGCGCACAGCAGCCGGCCCGCGATAAGTCGATAAGAGACGCGCGGCGCGGAGCTGCCTAGCAGCCTGCCCGCGATAAGTCGACAAGAGACGGGCGGCGCAGAGCTTCAGAAGGGGAGCCCCGCTAAGGTTGCCAGACCGTAATAGCTTCGGGGCTACCATGGTCCCACGGAGGAAACTCCTCCGATGGTGGCCGCACTCTTCACGAGTCTGAAGCATTTAGGACTTAAAGGCCACGCGGCTTCTAAACGCCGACGGCTTCAGACTTGCAGAAGGAAAAGGGACCAGATGGCCCCTCGGACGGGACGCCTCTGATGGTGGCCGCCCCTTTCATGGGTCTGAAGCTTTTAGGAGTTAAGAACCGCATGGCGTTTCAACCCTGGCGACAATTTCAGCCTCGTCGCGGGTGCCAAGGTCCCGGCTTTCTCGCTGCTTAAGCCTGATAGAAGCGAGAAAGCCCCACTTTCGTGGGAACTAATGGCGCAAAAGTTCTCGCCCTTTCTCCATTGGGGGCGCCGGCTTCCATTTGCCGACGAGCGACGGCCAAGGAGAACCCAAGCGCAAGGCCACCAACCAGTGCCAAAGTCCCGGCTTTCTCGCTCCTTAAGCTTGATAGAAGCGAGAGGGCCCCACCCTCGTGGGAACTAATGGCGCAGGCGTTTTCGCTCTTTCTCCATTAAGAGCACCAGCCCCAATTTGCCGACGAGCGACAACCAAGAAGAATCCAGGCGCAAGCCCAGCAACCAACCCCAAAGTCCCCGCTCTCTCGCTACTCCAGCTGAATAGAAGCGGGGGGGCCGCTACCTCGTGGGAAACTTATGGGAAAAATGGCGCACCAGTTTCCTGCATTACTTTCCCGTAGGCCCCTATAGAGGGCGACAAGGCCACACGCTTTTCGCCCCTGGTCTGCTTTAGTCGATTGCCCCTGGGCGCTTTTCCATACAAAAAATGGCAACGGTCGAGAGCCCCTTAAGTGTCTCGCTTAAGTGCCTCGAGCTGTACACCCCGCGGCACGTAACTGCGGCCCATTAGGGGGGCAACGAAGCGACGCGAAACCGCTCGCCAAAAACGGGGCAAAAACTCCAGGACTTTGCTGATTTTTGTCAAGTTTTTCGCGACTCTTCCCTGCCCCTCCGCTCTTCAAGCGACTGCACTTGGCCCACGCGTCCCCGCGCCCCGTTTGGTTTCAGTCGCCCTCTTCAGGGGCCTGCGGGAAACCAATGGAAGAAAGTGGCGCGCCCTTTTTCCCCTTAGTTTCCCACAAAGTTGCGGGGCTTTCGCTCCTATTCAGCTTAAGTAGCGAGAAAGCCCCGGCTTTGGCGCTTGTTGTTGACCCTGCTACGAAGGTCTGCGCTGCGCGTCTGCTGTCGACTTATCGCGGGCCGGCTGATGGGCGGCGGGCTTTGCGCTGCGCGCCTGTTTTCGACTTATCGCGGACCGTCTGCTATCGACTTATCGCGAGCGGCCGGGGAGAAAGCTGAGCGGGGTCGGCCTTCTTGTTTGGAGCCTCGTCTCGGTTCGCCCCAAAACCCCACTAGGCTCCCGCGCCCGGTAAGGCAGTCAGGGGGCTAGAGGGGATCGCGCCGGGGTCCTAATGGCTTCCCGCTCCCAAAGAGGCGGCTAGGAAACTACGCAGGACGGCGCCGCGCTCCCACCAGATTCCGCGGCTACGGCTTCGGGCCTGCTGCTCCGAGCTTGGCAGCCGGTCCGCGATGGGTCGACGACTTGCGCAGTCCTCCGTCGCGCGGCTTTTCCCCAAAAAGGCCTGGGCGTTTGGTCAGTTTTCCGGGAGAACGCCCAGAAGAGCGGCAAAAAGAGACAGCCTCGGAGAAAAGGACCACGAGCCCGTGCCCATGGGATTGGCTTCGGGCCTGATACTCCAAGCGCGGCAGCCCGTTCGCGGTGAGTCGACTACTTGCGCGGACCGCCGCCGCCTCGCCTGGCTTCTCTCCGTCCCAAGTGGATTAGCGAGACTTTCTTTGCCCAACTGAACTCGCCCAACCCGGCTCAGCCAGCTGGGCTCCCTCGCTGCGCTAATCTACCGCTGCCCGCCCGGGGAATTTAGCCAGAAGCCGACCCCGCGAAACTAGTATAGCTACCACAATCAAACGAAACCCGCCCAGCGAAGCTGACTAACCTAACCGGGCAAAGAAAAGTGCCGAGCTCGAGCAGCCTACCCGCGTCAGCCCCACCAAACTAGCCCCCGTGGACTAACCTACCCGAACCACGCGGGCCGAAGGGACACGACCGGACAAGCCGAGCTGGTCCGGCTAAACGGGCACATCGCAGCTGCACGAGGTGGCCGCGCTTACTCACGCATGCCCCAACTAAGCTACTGGCGTGGCTGCGCCACTTCATGTGCCCACTCGTATCTACCACTACCGCCGCGGCCAAGGCGTTTCTCTCGCTCCTGGTGACGTACGGGGGACACACCGCCGCAAACGCTATTTCAGAGAACCAAGATTCATTTCCACCGCATAGGAGGTAATATTTCCATTGGAGTTGCATAAAAGTCATTTCGTTGACGCTGAGTTGAATTTGACGAAGGTAGCGGCCGTCGCACTTCCAATATTTCTTTTCGGTTGTCGTGTCCATGAATAAGAAACAAAATGCTATCCATGATGTCTGTCAGAGGGATTATCTCGTGGTCTGTCCATCGCGAATGAACTCCAAAGTGCCATCCTTTCTGTATCTTGGAATTTCCAGCAAAGGAAAGATCTGCGAGACGATGGATTGCTGGTTGTGGTTTGATTGTCATTCTTATTGTTGATATCCTCAACTGGAAGTATCATGGATGCATATCATTCGTTCGCTCGAGATATCAAGAGCTCAGGTCGATGTAATTTTCCCTTTTCCCCAAAAGCGTTTACGCTGGTTTCGGATCAAAAAGGAAGTACTTACCCAAAAGATAGGTGACAAATTGAGCGATCGATCCTTCACTTTTCTCCATCCCAAGCACTTGATTAAAGAAATTGTGATTTGCTGATCTAAGAATTGGTTTAAAGAATATATTTTTTTACCCTAAAAACTTGCTCCACCTCAAGAGATGTTTTACCACGTTTTTCGGCGTTGTGTGATGGCGCTGCCTTCTGCAGTGATCCATTGTTTCCTCTTTTTATTGTTTATTTTTCAACAACCATGGAACCAAACAAGCACTGCCAGTGCAATTTTGTTCAAGCCTCGTCGTGAGCCTCCCATGCCTCTTTCGGATGGCACTGCAGCAGGTGAGACGACTGTGACCACGACAGGGTACGAAGATTATGACTTGGCGGGGGGTGAGGACAGTGAATGCGCCCCAATGTCTCTGCTGCAGACGGTGCCAAAAAGAGTTGCCGGCTTGACTAGCATGATCTCGGGAAAAGAACAAAGAGCGGCAGCGGCTGATATCGAGGAAATAGAGCAGAAATTCAAGAATCAGATCAAGAAACCGTTCATCGAAATGCTGATATTTGAAGCGCGGGACAAGTGGCGCGACGAGCATATTAAGCCAGCAGGACCGAAGCAGAGCGCAAAAGAAGCTGGGGAAAACCCGCCCTTGGCTGCCAACGGGGTGCCTCGAATTGGGATGAAGGGGGCACTGGATAAAGCGGTCACCGCGTATGATCAAGTAGTGGCTGCCTGGAAAGAAGTGCGGTCAACGATGTCCGATATCAACGAGTCGAGGAAAAGACTGGCGCCTCTAGACGAAGTCCAGAGATTGCTCAATAAGACATCGAGACTCAAGCCTTTCCGGAGAGCACAGCTTGCTGAGGAAGTCGTGAAGGAGGTATCTGAGGAGGTGAGAAAGGCGTGGGAATTCCGGGAAAAAGAATTGGAAAATCCGAAACCTGGAGTGAAGAGAGGAGAAGCGGAGGGCGTGGACAACCTCATCACGGACCTGCCCGACAACGTGCTCAGGAGGGCATATGAAATCGAAAGTAAAAGATCCGGAGGTCTTCGTTCGGCAGCAGATGCTCCTGCGGCCGGACCGGCACCGCCGGATACTGCCATGCCGGAAAAGTAGGTAAGGACAATAAGATGATCGCCTGTGGTGCCAAGAGGAAGGAGGGATCTATTCGACCGCCACGCAGCTAAAGCGAATTAAGTCTAAGCGGAGGTTATAACTTGAATGGTGTATCATGGATATTTTGTAGAACGACTACTTCGTGACGATGATGTAATTTGGCAAAGAGAGCGATGAAGTGCGCTAGTGTAGTACAGAACGTTACTGACGGGGTATGCGTAGTTCCAAACAAGCCTGCGTCGTTGATTTGCATACGTTTTTATATTTCGAGTTAAGCTGAAGCCCCATGGGCAGTTTTATAGAGTGTTTGCTTGCATTAATTGTGAAGATGTTCGCTACATGGAACCTTTGAAGTCGCATTTTTTGTTTTCAGCATATGTTTGTCATTGAATTAGAAACCCAGTACTGGAGGAAGTTCGTAGAGTCCCAGAGGTGCGATATTGCTTCATGCTGAGCCAGATGCAGCTCGTGGAAGCAGAGACACTATTTTCCCGCCTAGAATCCTGACAAATGGCACCGCGCTTGCTGTTATTGTGTCTCAGCGCATGAAATTGTAATGCACAAGAAGTGTTGTATGCACCAGCGCAAGTGAAGCATCGACTGGGCCACTCGCTTTTTTTGTGAAGTAAGCTCATCGTGTATGGGGACTGATTGCTTACCATGATTTATGTTTGTTTTTTACCTGCATGATCCATGAGTGTTCCGCTTGAAATTTTCGACCGAAGAACCCTGAGTCGACGACGACGTGGCTTTAGCTGTCCGCCTGACTTCTGATCACGTATTTCGAAGTGGCGCCAAACCGGCACCAACTACGACAGGCAAGTGGAGTGGAGCTTTCATAAGTGCGACCTTTTGAATCTTGACCGTGGACCGAACGTGAAGTAAGGCGACATTTTTTTCAAGTGGACGCGGCGTCTGTGAGAACCTTATTATGAAACCACTCAAGGCACATTTTCAGCGGCCAACCGAACACTCTTCGAGGCCGACGAAACGAATACCAGCTTCGCTCTCTCAACGGGGCAACTCGTACTCGATATGCGAACATCTGCACCCCGTATCCGCACGTCTAACCACCTGCGCCTCTGAATACGCGCTTCGTCCAGGGCCATCCTTCGACAACGCTTAGTGCTTTTGCTCTCTGCAGTTGTACCTCGAGAATTTACATCGTGTGGCTACCGTGTTGTGTGTTTTGGATCGGTTGTGTTGGGCGTTCGCATTGCAAGGAAATCGGAGGTGAAACCGGGCGGAAGAAATACATTAAGAACAAGAACATAGAGAGAACAACACGTGTTCAGCTTGGAACCCCATAAAGGCAGGAGCTCCGAGACCGATCAGAAACCAGCGCGAGAGCGTTCGCCACCACGTTGGCCTAGTGCGGTGCGGCTGGAAAGAAACACCCCAGGGCACGCAGCTGCGGCACATAAGGAGTTCTTCTTAATGTATTTCTTCCGCCCGGTTTCACCTCCGATTTAGAACAAAGAGAACAACATATAGGAAAACAACTACAACAAAATAAGGGACTATGCTGTGAACAAGACAGCAACATATGATCAAATGGAGAATTCTTCCTCTATGAAATTACCTCTTGCGCGCTTACTGACTTAGAAGGCAAAGAACCGACTACAAGATATACGCAAACAATCAAATACGTCATACCAGCATTTGATCTGACTACACAAACACGCTTTTATTTTCTAGGATTGATCCTGGGGCCTTTTCGCCTGCAAATGCGGTCAGATCAGAAGGATAGAGCCCGAAATTGATTTGTTCCTCGTGAATCGGACCGTGCACTTACAATGTCCGAAAGTCTCTTGACAATATGAAATGGGAATCCTGCTACAATTTCGAATCCTACCGTGCGTTGTAATGATCGCGATCAATATTTGCTACATTCTGGATTCGGTCAGCTTATAGGAGGATAGTGTAATGTCCCAAACTGCATTTTCTCAAGATTTTTTCTGATTTTTAAGAAGGATCAAGTTCAAGAAGAATTCCACTCCCCTAGGTCGTGGGCGTAAGTAACAAATTTCGTATTTATTTTGTCTGCAGTCAACTTTTAATTTTTGATGAAAATATGTTTTACAGTACTACTCGGTGATACTTCATTTATGTGTCTCTCAAAAGAACGCTGGCAATATTGGTCATCTTATATTAGCTCCCATGGCCTAAATTTATTTCATTCCTGTGTTAAGCACTTTTCTACCGTAAATGAACTACAAGTGAACAATGAAGATAGTAGATAGTTCGCTGCTCGCGAACGTGAGGCCCGAATGGGTGTTCGCCGAAGCGGATGGCTGCGTGGTTGCGGTCACGCGACAGCAACATCACTTCACGCGCGGCGGCTCCTCCAGTAGCCTCACGATTCGCGCTTGGGCCGCCGCCAAGTCGCCAGCGGATGCAATAGATGAGTCCGAAAGAAATGCTGCTAACCGGTTAGAACATGATCATCACGGCTTGCGTTCTAGTACTACTCAGTCTGAAATTATAGGTCGTCGTGGGGCCACTCCTGGCTCATCCTCCTCAACACAATGCGAGGTGCAAGCGGAGATACCCGGATATGACATAGACGCATTCGGGAAGTTTTCGAAGATCGCACTGAATAGGTCGGGATCCGCCCTCGTGCTTATCTCCGACCACGCTGTAGCTGGTCTTTTACTGGGTGAGCGGTCATCGCTGCGCGAGAACATCCTGGAGCTCGAAACAACTGGATCCTCATCTTCATCCTCGAAATTTATAAGTAGTGCATCTGCTGCACCAGGCGGTCTTCAACAAGGGGGAACAAGTTCCGTGTCACAAGGCCTCCAAGCTTCCTCCTCGAAGGCGATTTTACAGGGTAAGACGTTGCTGAATTACGCAGTGGGACGAAAAGTGAGGCGTCGCGTATTACGAGTCGCGTGGCACCCTAGGAGCGAAGCACACGTCGCTGTCTTTTCCGTGGATCCAGCGGGGCAAACGTTCTGGGAGCTCATTGATCTGTCAAGAAAAGGGTACAAGTCCGACTCCTTTGTATGTAGAATGGGCTAGCTCGTTGACCTTTCAAGAAAGGGGTACAATTACTCCGACTCCTTTGTACTTATGAATATCTAGATAGAAAAATGGCAATGGCCTATAGTAATTCGGAGAGCGCCTGCCCCTTCTGCTCATACTGGGCTAATATGATTTGGAGTAGAGCTCCGGTCGCTCCTCATACTCTACTTTTAAGTCGCTCTCGTAATGTTCTAAAAATGTTTTCTGTATTGGCTGTGGCATGATCCAGACCTGTTAATTGACTATTCGTATTCGATTCGTGTTTTCTTTCTCAGGGGGCCTTCAGTGGAGTATCGGCGGAAGTTTAGTCCAGAAGAGGCCATCGTGGATTTTTCGTTCACCGCAACCTCACGTGACGACGAGAACAACGAAGCTGATGCCGGAGACGCTCTACCCCCAGGGGCGCCGTGGACACAGTATTCCGTTCTGTTTTTGTCGGAGAACGGCAGCTTAATTCTCCAGGAAGCGCCAGCCTCGGTGATGATTTTTCCCCGCAAGCTGGTCGACGGAGCGCGCAGAGGAGGTGCTCGGCTCGCGCCGTTCTTCGAGGCCTCAGAAGCTCTCGACGACGACGTAGCTTTGCTGAGATTGTGCGACAGAGTACCCACAGGGTCCCACGACGAGGAACCAACGCGAGGAGATCCGAGTTCTTCTTCAACGGCGAGAACAGGAATAAACAAAGAGAAGGACAAAGAGAGCAATAATAGAGGTGAAGGTGACATGTATCAGGCGATGCGGAAGGGAAGTTTGGTGATCAAGTACGAGGAAGAGGCTCTTGGCGTAGGCCAGTCCCCGCTGCTGCCACCATCGGGCGCAGCAGCAGGCAAGCGGACTTTCGGCATCTCGCCAAAGGTGCTCGATTATAATCAACCATACGACCACCAGGAGGAAGAGGCGTCCAGTGCAGCTGCTGTGTCCCGCACTTACCAGTCCAGCGCGACTATTACATCAACATCTTCTCCCGAGCACCGTGCTGCTCAGCGAACAGGCACCTCGTCCGCGAATGCTGGTTTTTTAGCCTATGGAACCTACTTCGCGAAGCGTCAACAGGTACTGCGCGGATCGGTCCTGCAGAACAACAGCTATGGGGCCTATTTCTCGCAAGTTCTGTTAGTGAGTGCGAGTCCCTTACCGGTTATAGCAGTGAGTCGGGGAACGGAAGTCAGTGTCTTGTCCCTTACCCCTGACAGCTGTGGTGTGCCCATTGACGTTTTAGACATCGCAGATCACTGTGACATCAGTAGCAGCATAAATAGCAGTAGTACTACGAGTAAAGCCAACAGGGAGCAGCAATTCGTCAACCTGCCTCCCGTCAACATGTTGGAGCTGCGAGGGTACAACTTTATTTCGATTTCGTCAAATTGTTTGAATTGCACCAACTACATGTATATAATCTGTTTGAAATCCGAATTTTTTCTAAATCTAACACAAGTGTTACCAACACAATTTTATGGCTAACATTGGATTTTTCTACTACTATTTTTACTACTATCAAATTAGTTACGACTCGGCGAGCTTCTTGGCGATGAATGCGGGTTGCGTCGCGCACTTTGAAATATTATGGCTGCATCAAATTAGAACTGGAAAGTGGCAGGGAGCAATCGAAAAAACTTGTCTTTCTGTTCTGGCCTCAGAACCGATTACGTCGTTTTTCACGTTTCGGGCGACCAAACAAGGTATAATTTCGTATCTGGGCACATTCATTCACTCATTCATTCATATCTAGTAAAAGTTCCTGATTTGTTCATTGAAGTAGAAGATCTTGTTGCCCTCTGCCTTTCCAACATGTTATCTATTGTCATTAGGTGAAGTAGAGGCCATCTTCTTGTGTGTGATTGTTTACTCAGGTGTTTTGCTTAGACAGGGAGACAACTCGTATAGCTCAAAAGCTGAGAGTGCGCAGGTCGTTGCGCTTCCACGAGTTGCGAACCGACCAGCGAGTGCGATATCTACGCATGAGGCGGCTCGTGCCGCGGAGGGCGTTCCGCAGTCAAAGCTAGCCAAGCTGCTGCATCCCGACTTGCTCTTAGGCGACAAAATTTTTCCCGCATCAAGTAGTAGCAGTTTCGGCTCAAGTGATACTGACGTCCAACAGACGGTAGAACAGCTGCAGCGTGCGTTGAATACCTTCGTGTTGGAGCTGCTGAAGAAGAATATGATTCTCAAAAAATTTTACGAGGAGGTCCAGCGCGCACATAGCGGTCGCCTCGCGGAGTGGCGCACGCTCTACGAAAAGGCTGCAGGCGTGGAAACGAAGCAAGCAGTTTTGCAGGCAGACATCGCGGAAACTTTGCGTCGGCAAAAAGAGCTTCGTGCGCAACTAGCGGACCTAGTGGCGCTTGCGAGCTCGCTCTCGGCAACAGCAAAACGCGCAGACTTGAGCGCCGAAATCCCGAAAGTACAAGAAACCGTGGGCCGCATGCTGCGCGACCTGCACATGGCCGCATACTAGGTGGTCTGCGGAGCGAAGGGTTGTGCTGAGTGATTTTCGAACCGAAGTGCGAGGCAATCTGCGAGGAGCGCTGCGTGCTAGGTGATCTCTGCATAATGCTGAGCGTGTTAATGGAGCAGGGCACAGGCGTATGGGATGTGAGAACGAGCCATGGGACAAGCGGTTTCTCGACGAGGCTTTTGATTGTTCTCAAGCACACGCACAAGTAGCTGTACTGAATACCAAATTCAACCGCGCGTGACGCGTCCTATGGTTTTGCGAGAGATAACGATGGGATCCAAGTAATCAGCACCCTCCGCAGGCAGCATCGCTTGGCAGGACGCTGTTTTGGAGAGTTTCTGCTGATACATGCTCGCAGAAATTCTCTCCGTTTTGCTTGAAGAAAAAAGCCTGTCATGCCTTCATTACAGAAGACACTCTTTATGGTGTTTTCATGATTGTCACTCGCCAAGTGACAAAGTCCCCTTCGAACTTCATCCCCCTCTTTTCGTATATACAAGTGTTGTTGAAACTAAGTGATGAAAAGCAAGGGGCTAGAGTTGAACTAAGTATAATAATTCTGTGACTGAGTGCGCACAGATTCAGTCGCAACTCGCCTGTCAGTCAGTCTTTTCACGTTGAGACGACTCTCGAACATTCCAGATTGCACGTGTTCAGAAGAACGACTCGACGTAACCCGTTTCTGTGTCGGAAGATAATGGACGAGAGAGAAGTACTCAATGTTTTTGTTTTCCAAGGAACAATGATTCGCTTACGGTTTTTTTTGATACCAAAAAGTAAGTAAAGGAAACTAGCACGAGTTGTGCTTTCGATTTTTTCAACGAGAGACGAGAACTTGAGATGAGATTTTTGTGTTCGGGTAAGACGAGATCGAGACTTGAAGATGCGTCGGATCTTTTTTTGAGGACAACGTATACTACAGATCGATTTTGATCGAAATATACTAGGACTGCAATTAACATCGATTCTTATCTTCAACTTTGATTGACCTGTATTGCGAAAATTTTGTCCATCTGAAGCCCTCACACTCATCAAGATTTCGAATCTGGTCCAGAATGTTGACTTCTTAAGCTCTTCCTACTATACCACATCGACAGCGAAGCGACATTTGCGACGAATTTGTTTTCTGTATTTCACCTACAAGCAGCACTTCAACAATTTCTATTTCATCTACACCTCCACAATTTCATCTGGTAGGTTTTGGAAAACAAGATATAGTTGGCAAGCACGATAAAGCTCTACTCTCGGAGAATAGCAGATTTTATAGCAGCGACTGCGTCCTAAACGTTTACAAACAACAGCTTTGAAGTTTTGACTAATAGTTTTGGAAGAACTAATAGGTTGTAATTCATCCAGTGGCAGCTTTCTTTTATTTGAAGAGCAACAAAATGCAAATCTTTGTGAAGACTCTGACTGGGAAAACCATCACGCTTGATGTGGAGGCTTCCGACACCATCGATGCGGTCAAGGCCAAAATCCAGGATAAAGAGGGAATTCCCCCAGACCAGCAGCGCTTGATCTTTGCAGGTACTATGAGAAATATGTATATGACACAAAAACACTCTAGAAGTAAGGATTTTAACGATAGTTAGGCGAGCAGATACTACTTGTCGTTGTAGTGTGAGCTGTGAAGAAAGAGGAAGAAATACGACGTACAGTCACATGCGCAATCTTGGTCAAGGTGATTTTTCGCATACTGAAAAAAACGAAATGATTGTTGATTTCATTATGATTTTAGGTAAGCAGCTCGAAGACGGCCGCACACTGTCGGACTACAATATCCAAAAGGAGAGCACACTGCACTTGGTGCTGCGCTTGCGTGGTGGTATGCAGATCTTCGTCAAAACGCTGACCGGAAAGACGATCACGCTCGATGTCGAGGCGTCTGACACCATCGATGCGGTGAAGGCCAAGATCCAGGACAAAGAGGGAATCCCGCCGGATCAGCAGCGTCTGATTTTCGCCGGCAAGCAGCTCGAAGACGGTCGTACGCTCTCGGACTACAACATCCAGAAGGAGAGCACCCTGCATCTGGTGCTGCGCTTGCGTGGTGGTATGCAGATCTTCGTCAAAACGCTCACCGGAAAGACGATCACGCTCGATGTCGAGGCGTCTGACACCATCGATGCGGTGAAGGCCAAGATCCAGGACAAAGAAGGTATTCCGCCAGATCAGCAGCGTTTGATTTTCGCCGGTAAGCAGCTGGAGGACGGTCGTACGCTATCGGACTACAACATCCAGAAGGAGAGCACCCTGCATTTGGTGCTGCGCTTGCGTGGTGGTATGCAGATCTTCGTCAAAACGCTCACCGGAAAGACGATCACGCTCGATGTCGAGGCGTCTGACACCATCGATGCTGTGAAGGCCAAGATCCAGGACAAAGAAGGTATTCCGCCAGATCAGCAGCGTTTGATTTTCGCCGGTAAGCAGCTGGAGGACGGTCGTACGCTATCGGACTACAACATCCAGAAGGAGAGCACCCTGCATTTGGTGCTGCGCTTGCGTGGTGGTATGCAGATCTTCGTCAAAACGCTCACCGGAAAGACGATCACGCTCGATGTCGAGGCGTCTGACACCATCGATGCTGTGAAGGCCAAGATCCAGGACAAAGAAGGTATTCCGCCAGATCAGCAGCGTTTGATTTTCGCCGGTAAGCAGCTGGAGGACGGTCGTACGCTATCGGACTACAACATCCAGAAGGAGAGCACCCTGCATTTGGTGCTGCGCTTGCGTGGTGGTATGCAGATCTTCGTCAAAACGCTCACCGGAAAGACGATCACGCTCGATGTCGAGGCGTCTGACACCATCGATGCTGTGAAGGCCAAGATCCAGGACAAAGAAGGTATTCCGCCAGATCAGCAGCGTTTGATTTTCGCCGGTAAGCAGCTGGAGGACGGTCGTACGCTATCGGACTACAACATCCAGAAGGAGAGCACCCTGCATTTGGTGCTGCGCTTGCGTGGTGGTATGCAGATCTTCGTCAAAACGCTCACCGGAAAGACGATCACGCTCGATGTCGAGGCGTCTGACACCATCGATGCTGTGAAGGCCAAGATCCAGGACAAAGAAGGTATTCCGCCAGATCAGCAGCGTTTGATTTTCGCCGGTAAGCAGCTGGAGGACGGTCGTACGCTATCGGACTACAACATCCAGAAGGAGAGCACCCTGCATTTGGTGCTGCGCTTGCGTGGTGGCAAGTGAGAGAGGCTATTCAGAGTGGCCGCCAGCTGTGTTTTGTTATGGTTTCATCCAAAATTCTCGGCTTTTCTTGTGACGAGATTGAGTGGTTGAATTGCTAAACAAGTTCCGCGGTTATCTTCCTTGAATTCGATTTTTCATGATCAAAAAAACGGGGAAGAGCATGCCACTATCGAGAAGTACATCATTGCGTCATTTTTGAAAGATTCATTTGAACCAAGCAATAAATCTGAGGTGGTATTCAACTGGTAGTATTGTGCAACGCATGATTTTCGGGTGAGATATCGGGTAGCTTTGATCACATGATATTGAAATATCTCTACAAGAACTTATAAGATCTGGAAAAATGTTGTGAGGGCTACATCTACGTGTTTTACCGCAAGATTTACATGTTACCTAGGGACATCAGCACCACCAGCAAGAACTCATCTGTGAAAGAATTTTTAGTGGTAAAAATAACTACCTGATTATTCAATCAGGGGAAACACGAGCAGATCATGTGATCACTAGTATATACTTGTAAGAGATTCTTACTGCTAGTGAACGACATAGTTGTAATTTTTGAGGGGATTTAAAAATTCGTTATCATATATTGCGAAAAAGACAGTTGTATGAGGATCCAACATACTTTTTAAAAGCCGTGTGCGGGATCTCCTCAATCGCAAAAAGTATGAGCGAATAAAGAAACGAGAGCCATCCACAGCCATCTGCATATACGATTTAAGACCTCTTTTGAAGTGGTACTACGAATTAGAGTATCTACATGGAAGGACCATCGTCCACAAGAAGATGGAGGTCTCAGAGAGACTCTAAAGAATATTGGAACGACTCACGTGGAAGAATAGTATTGTGTTAAAGGCAATAAATCATGTGTGACACGCACCAAGAGATCGGGTTTCAAGAAAAATTCGGGGGAGTAACTTTTTGTGATCGACCAAACGAAGGGATCGCTGCAGCGTCAAAGTGAGAGAAAGATTCCATCAGGACCCTTTCCCGAGATGTAGGTTAGAAGGGTCGTTATCGACGCTATTTTTCTTACATTCGAAATATAATACGAGCACAGGTTGAATGAACGAGCACAGGATGGATGTACTTAGTTGAACGTCTACATTATGTTTTAGAAACTATGTATTTAGTCTACTTGGCAACACGATCAACATCTTCGTCCGAGAAATCCAGTGCCGGTAGGGTCTTTATGATCATACGATTCAAATCCCTGACCCCTTCCTGCTTTGGACTAAACCCCCTTTCGGATTGGTTCAAAATTATTAGATTTGTTTCTTTACTGAACAAAATCTTAATGATTGATCGTCTATTTATTCTACTTGACCTTGAAATTCGTTGTCAGTGACTCTCCTATTTACTAGTCTGCAAGGCATGGATCACTAAGATCTTTTGCCTTTTTATTCTCTATACACGGACTAGAAGATATTGATATTTTCCGGATGATGTAGACCGCGTCCATCGTCTCTCAGGTGATTCTTAACTCCAAGTAGGTAACTAGTTTTTTTTATCCTGAACTTGTTGTTTGTGATCTTAACACACTTCGTTTTGAAAAATCAGGTTGATATAATTGGAGCCCCTGAAGCGCATTTTCAACGCAGATACTGTAGCAGTAGAAGAGTCTCACTGCTTGACAAACTAGTCTGCATGGCGGTCGGGTCGTTTTTTGTATTGTGGCTCCCATAGACATAGCACCTTGAAAAATGTGTACAAAAAAACTATTATGCTATCAAAAATATATAGTGCCGACAATTTCCCTTACTAGTACTTGATTGGCTTTTGCCGGTAAAACGGCGAAGGTTTAGGTCCAGCGGCGCTCAAAGCGTTTTTTTTTCTTTTCTACCTCTAGGCCATCCCGTCATGCAATATATAGTACCGACCTTAGTCAGTGCGGACAAAAAAGCCCATCTGATGAGTTTTTAAGTAACCTCCTTCCATAGCAGGAAATTGGTAATTCCCTCGTCGGCTTAGAGAGGTGCTTCAAATCTTGACTGGCTTCTCCCTTTTATAAGGTTGGGGCTTAGGCCCAGTGACGCTTAAAGCACTAAAGTAAAGCAGCCGGCTAGCTTTCCCGCTATCTTTTGGCTTATCCCTTCAAATAATATGTAGTGCCGACACCAGTTAAGCGCGATATCAAATATTTCAATATTTCTTCGCTTGATAGTTCTGGTTCAATCAACATATCGAGCTCTCCTAGTCATCAATTTTTCTGTTATAAATGAAGATATTTGGGAGCTTTTTGACATAGTCAACACCTTTTTCTTTTATCATTTGGCTAAAAATACTCTAAATAAAGATGTCCGCCAGCGTTCCTTCCCAGAGTAGTAGTACTTCACCACGGGGTCGTGGTGTTCGGCCGCTTGCCTCGCCGAGAGGCACCGGACCCACGCCTTCGCCAGTGCCGTCGGAAACGCGGCAGCAGCGCAAAAGCCCCGCAAGCGAAATCCCCGCACCGAAGGGAAGGCCGGAAGAGGGTGCGCAGAACATCTTCAACATTTCCGACGCTCCTTCGCCTCTTCTACGACCAGGAAAGCTGGCAGGCTCCGGGCCCGGATCCCCCTTCGGTTCCTTCGCACCTATGGTCGGCGAAGCACATGGACGAACAGGGAGCATGTCCAGTCTGCGGAGTGCAGCGTCAGGCGCCTACGCAGATCACGCGGGAGCACCAGTCAACCTCAATCTCAATCCCCAAGGTGTGGCGCCAGGTGCGCAGTACCATTCGATGAGTCGCCGTGTCAGTGAGGTCCGCGTCGACGAGGAGGATAAAATGCCGAATGTTTTTGCGCAAGGAGAGATGTACTACGGGCCGAGCAAAGTAGCGGCGCATCAGAACTTCTCTCTCGGCACTTCGAACTCCTACATGAACGGTGAAAGAGGCAGTCCTGGCTTCGGGTACAACCAGAGCAACAACTCTGGCCTAAAGTACAACCAGCACTCAATGATCGGAGGAAATGACAATGGTGGAGGCGGAACTAGCTACATGAGCTTTGGAACCGGTGTTGAGAACCCCACTTCTCAGCGGAACGAGCAGGGAATCGAGCAAGGCAAAGTAATGACTTCGGCATTAAGGCATAGTACAAAAATATCCAGGACATGTCATGCTTGTAGAAGAAAAATATCCAGGACATGACAGAATAGTTCTTGGATATAGCTATTCTCCTCGACTTCATGCTGTGGCTCTCTTTTTGACTCCTTCTTGACCTAGATAGCACATTTGGATTTATCTCTCGAATCGAAAAATTTCAATCTATTTTAGATGAGTTTTTCTTCGAGATACAAGGTACTAACATCAGTGGTTCTCAAGAGCATAGGGAAAGTTCTTTTCGCTTTTCGTCTTTGATACCTCTAGACTGGGTACACTACTACTACTAGCGGAAGAGCTCCAAATGCATGAATTTCCAGTAGTAAAATAAGAGTCCTTCTAATACCATCAGCAGCCGCGGCAAATCGTAGCAACAGACGGCGCATGAAGAAGATAACGACGCTTAATGCGGACGAAAATCAATCAGAGATCACCGCGTGGTTGATGGAGGCAGCGAAGTTGAGAGAGAAGTATACGCCTTGCGGAGATCATGTGCCTTTATGGGAAAATCTACAGAGAGGCAAGATGCCGGTTCGCGAAATCATACCTTACACTTTCCGAATGGGCAAGCACGGAGTTGTTGAGGTACTACATTCATTCGACTGATTCTTTCTTCGATGTTAGAGTGAGCAAGATCTACTTATTCTATCAGCTCTACAGAAAGATGTTGTTGGCTTTTTTTAGATAACAGAAATGCTGTGTTAGTTTAGAAATGATGTTTGTTGAGAAATGATGTTAGTTTAGAAATGATGTTAGTTTAGAAATGATGTTTGTTGAGAAATTACATGTGATACGTAGGTTTTTGAGAAGTCCTCGACCATCGTGGAACAAGCTGGCAGTAGTGCAGCGTCCAGCCAGGCGCAGTCGCCAAACGGGGACGAGGCTTCAAACGGCGGAGCAAAATTGACTTCAGGCTCACAGCCAAATGCTTCTGCCGAAACGACTGACACCGGCAGCAGCGCCACGGCTTCTGCCGCGGTGGCCGACAGTAGTGCTTCCGCAGCCGCCGCCACAGGCACAGCTAGCACGGATCTCGCAACAGCAGGTGCAGGAGCAATAGCAGGTAGGTCTCCTAAATCCGAAAATGGAAACTTCGGAAGTCCGGACAAAACGAGAGCTGGCATTTCAGCCGGAAAGCAGAACACGGGATCGACGGAAGGTCCGATGGACGCGACAACAGGAGAGGGATTGACGGCGGCGGACAAGACTTTTTCGCTGTCTGGCAGCGCTGCGCAGTTGTCCGCCACGTCCACTTCGCTGAATAATTTTGACAGCACGAAGAATCTTTTTCCGATGCCGTCGCTGGGCGACTACTACACGGATATGGCCCGTTTGTTCCAGATCCGCACGAGCGGTCCCGTGGTCTCGCACTGCTTTTACCGGTTAAAGATGTTGCGCGCAAAGTTCGAGTTGTACCACATGGTGAACTACGGCGAGGAGCAGGAGCAGCAGAAGAACACGCGGCATCGGGACTTCTATAACGTGCGCAAAGTCGATAATCACATTCACCACGCAGCGGCCATGAACGTCAAGCACTTGACGCGGTTCATGAAGCGAAAATTCAAGAAGTGCTCCGAGGACATCGTGGGCAAGGACGACCAGGACGCGCACATCACTCTCGGCGACTTGGCGAGGGAGATGCACATAGAGTGGCATTCTCTCACCATCAACAGTCTGCAGATGTGGACGGATCGCAGCTGCATGCATCGGTTCGACCGCTTCAACAACAAGTACATGCCAATGGGTCATTCGAAATTGCGCACGCTCTTTCTCAAGACCGACAACATGCAGAGGGGGCGGTATTTTGCGGAAATCACGAGGGAGCTGCTAGACGATCTGGAGGAGTACAAATACCAGCACACGGAGTGGCGTCTCAGTATTTATGGACGCAAGAGGGGAGAATGGGACGCGCTCGCGAAATGGGTACTTACTTACAACCAGCGTTTTTAGGTCTTCTTACTACGGGATCTAGAGCTATGTCTGATTGATTAGTCGTACTGTATGACCTGTTGCTTACATGGTGCCAGCACCTTCACATGAAGTTTTCATGGCACTAAAAAGGAGATGTGATGTCGTGCTCGTTTCGTTCTTTCACGCTGCAACCAAGTCAGTTCGTGGGAACCTGTTGCACATCAAAAAAACTCAAACTGTTGATGCGAAAACTCCTTACTTATAAAAATATCATAGGTTCTCGGAAGACAAGCTGGAAATGGCACTCGCCTCATTTCCGCGAACAACCAGTGGATGATCCAGATTCCGCGTCTCTTCGAAGCGTACAAGACTGCGAACCAGTTGAATAACTTTCAGGAAATGATTGACAACATTTTTATTCCTTTGTTTGAGGTCACCGTGGATCCCACTTCGCATCCGGAGTTGGAGGAGTTCTTACAGCACGTAGGTGGCTTCGACACGGTGGACGACGAGAGCAAAACTAGTGGGCCGATGGAACGACACTTTTCGAGTCGAACACGCACGCCCGGGGACTGGGACGTGAAGGTGAATCCGAGTTACAAGTACTACTCTTTCTTCATCCAAACGAATTTGCGCGTCCTGAACAAGTTGCGGGAGAAACTGCACTTGAATCAATTCAAATATCGCCCGCATGCAGGAGAAGCAGGCGAAGTCCACCATTTGGACACTGCGTTTTTACTGGCTGACGGCATCAACCACGGCATTAACCTAAAGAAAAACCCGCCGTTGCAGTACTAAAACTACTTGCTTCTGATAAATTTACGATATTAATAAGATTTTTTGCAAGTAGTGTAAGAAAGAAGCAGTAGGTTGTTGGTATTCGATCGGAATTTCGCAAGTTTTTCTTGGCTGAGAATTTTGTAGCTCTATTTTGGATCTGGTGTAGTGTTGGTTTCACGAAATGGAGTTCATCACTCTCGGTTGTCTCACCTCTCTTCCTTCTTCAGGTACCTGTTTTACTTGTGCCAAATCGGGCTTTCGATGTCCCCCTGTAGCAACAACCAGCTTTTCCTCTCCTACGATAAAAACCCTT